TTCTCCCCCTCCCCCCACTCCTCTCCCCCTCCCTCTCTAATCCAAAAAGCAGTCATGGTTCCCTGCCCTGTGGAAAGTCCAAGGTCCTCCCCCCTCCGTCCTTGTCTAGGAAGGTGAACATCCAAACTGGCTAGGCTCCCACCAAGCCGGAACATGAAGTAGGATCAGAACCCCTTGCCATTGACCTTATTTTAGGTTTTAAAATAGTATTCTACTGTGTAGCCCAGACTGACTTTGATTTCATGATCCTGCCTCAGCCTCCCAAGTCTTGGGATTACCATCACTGGCCATTATACCTGCCCTCGGAATGCTTATTATTTACAAAGAAATCCATATGCTTTTTTTTCTTTCAACGTTTTAGAACTCTCCCATTCCTGCAAAACTTCCTGAACCAGTGAAAGCCAGTGAGGCAGCTGTAAAAAAGACCCAGCCAAAGGCCAGGTAAGAAATGCCCTCAGGAGCTTGGTGCCAGCTGCAGTGGAGGTGGTTGCTGCTGCCGTTCTGTGTGGCTATGACTAGAGGCTGCCCAGATCAGGAAAGGAATCTCCCTCGGCAGAAACTGTTCTTTGGGAATGCCAAGAAGGATATAATAAAATACTAAGATCTACATTTGAAAGGAATCAATAACCTCACAGATGTGTCCATTGCATGACAGTAGATACAGGGATGAGGCAATGCCAGAATTTAAGGGTTGCTGGTAGAGAATTATCTTAATCTGTTTCTGATTAGCCATGTTTACCCCCTAGTCTGACACATTCCTTTCTTTGGCTCCAGTCATATTGGGAAAGTGCAGTTGAAATGAAAGTCCATGAACAGCAGAAGATCTTTCTAGATATTAGCTAATCTCACTGGATGGAGTCACTCAGGGTTTTCCAGAGCATTCGTCAAGAAAGGGGTTTCCTTCTTGTCTATCTTTTGCCTCTGAGCCTTTACCTTTCTCTATTTCTGTGTATCTTTTCTTTCCTTTTTACTTTTGTGTCCGGCTGTGTGGCTGGCCCCCCCCTTTTTTTTTTTTGCTCCTCGATCTTCCTTTCCCAGATTTCTATTTATTTATTTATTTATTTATTTATTTATTTATTTATTTATTTATTTATTTTCTGTCTGTCAGTCCCATCTATCCTTTCTCCTGC